TTTGCTTAGGATAATACACTCTAGTTCCATCCATGTTGTTCTAAATGGCAAGATTTCTGTAATATTACATTGTGTATATACACCACATCTTCTTTATCCATTCATCAGTTGGTGGACATTTGGGCTCTTTCCATAATTTGGTTGTTGATAATGCTGCTATAAACATTGGGATGCATGTGCCCCTTCGAATCAGCTTTTTTGTATCCTTTCGGTAAATACCTAGTAATGCAATTGCTGGGTTGTAGGTAGTTCTATTATTTATTAAAATTAATTTATTTTTTAAATTTACATCCAAGTTAACCTATATAGTGCAACAATGATTCCAGGAGTAGATTCCTTAATGCTGCTTACCCATTTAGCCCATCCCCCCCGACAACCCCTCCAGCAACCCTCTGTTTGATCTCTATATTTAAGAGTCTCATATGTTTTGTCTGCCACCCTGATTTTATATTATTTTTGCTTCCTTTCCCTTATGTTCATCTATTTAGTATCTTAGATTCCTCATATGAGTGAAGTCGTATGATATTTATCTTTCTCTGACTAGTTTTTTAATACCCTCTAGTTCTGTCCAAGTAGTTGCAAATGGCAAAATTTCATTCTTTTTGATTTCCGCGTAATACTCCATTGTATATCTATACCACATCTTCTTTATCCATTCACCCGTTGATGGATGTTTGGGCTCTTTCCATACTTTGGCTATTGTCGATAGCGCTGCTATAAACATTGGGGTGCATGTGCCCCTTCGAAACAGCACACCTGTATCCCTTCAATAGATACCCAGTAGTGCAATTGCTGGGTCGTAGTTCAATTTTTAATTTTTTAAGGAACCTCCATACTGTTTTCTTGAGTGCCTGCACCAGCTTGCATTCCCACCAGCAATGCAAAAGAGATCCTCTTTCTCCACATCCTTGCCAACATCTGTTGTTGCCTGAGTTGTTAATGTTAGCCATGCTGACAGGTGTGAGGTTGCATCTCACTGTGGTTTTGGTTTGTATTTCCCTGATGATGAGCGACGTGGAGCGTTTTTTCATGTGTCAGTTGGCCATCTGGATGTCTTCTTTGGAGAAGTGTCTATTCATGTGTTTTGCTCATTTCTTCACTGGATTATTTGATTTTTGGGTGTTGAGTTTTAGAAGTTCTCTATAGATTTTGGATACTAAACCTTTATCTGATATGTCATTTGCAAATATCTTCTCCCATTCCGTTGGTTGCCTTTAGTTTTGCTGATTGTTTCCTTTGGTGTGCAGAAGGTTTTTATTTTGATGAGGTCCCAAATAGTTCATTTTTGCTTTTGTTTCCCTTGCCTCCAGAAACGTGTTGAGTAAGAAGTTGCTGTGGCTGAGGTCAAAGTGGTTTTTGCCTGCTTTGTCCTCGAGGATTTTGATGGCTTCCCATCTTATTTTGAGTTTATTTTTGTGTATGGTGTAAGAAAGTGATCCAGGTTCATTTTTCTGCACTTTGCTGTCCAGTTTTCCCAGCACTATTTGCTGAGGAGACTGTCTTTATCCCATTAGATATTCTTCCCCGCTTTGTCAAAGATTAGTTGGCCATGTGTTTGTGGGTCCATTTCTGGGTTCTCTATTCTGTTCCATTGATCTGGGTGTCTGTTTTTGTGCCAGTACCATACTCTCTTGATTACAGCTTTGTAATACAGCTTGAAGTCTGGGATTGTGATGCGTCCAGCTTTGGTTTTCTTTTTCAGGATTGCTTTTGGTATTTGGAGTCTTTTCTGGTTCCATACAAATTTGAGGATTGTTTGTTCTAGCTCTGTGAAGAATGCTGGTGTTATTTTGATAGAGATTGCCTATTGATATTTTGGGGAACCTTCATAGTGCTTTCCAGAGTGGCTGTGCCAGTTTGCATTCCCACCAACAGTGTAAAAGTGTTCCCCTTTCTCTGCATCCTCTCCAACCTCTGTTGTTTTTTGAGTTTAATTAACACATTTCTAAATAAACCCTGGGTCAAAGAAGAAGTCTCAAAAGAAAAGGAAAAAAAACCCAAAACATACAGCTGAATGGTAATAAAAACAAAACAAACTGTACGTGGGTTGTAGCTCAAGCAGTGCTCATAGGGAAATTTATAGCACTAAATGCTTACATTAGAAATGAGGCAAGATATCAAATCAGAAATCAATGAAAATCTAAGTGTAAATGTAAATAAAAATCTAAATGTAAATCTAAATAAATGTTGTTTCATTAGAGGACTCAGTACAGCAAAATGTCAGTTTTCCCCAAATTGATCTATAGGTTTAATGTAATTCCTATTAAAATCCCAGTAAGGTTTTTGTAGAAATAGAAGAGCCTAAACAGTGTTGAGGAAGAAGAAAAAATGGGAGGAATCCTACATCCTGATATTATAGCTTACCGTATCAGACCCACAGATCGACAGAACAGGTTAGAGATCCCAGAAAGAAACCCACAAACATGCCTAAACGACTTTTTACAAAGGTGCAAAAGCAATTCCTTGGAGGAAGGATAACCTTTTCAACAAATGTTGGGATAATTAGACATCCACAGGCAGAAAACCACCACCAAAATGCACACACCCGAGGTACCTGCACACATACACACGTTGCTTTTAAACTTGACATCTTACATAAAAATTAACTGAACGTGGGCCATGAACTACAGTAAATAAAGTAAAACTATACAACTTTTAGAAAAAAACAACAGTTTAAAAATTTTAAGTTTATTTTCAGAGAGACAGCGTGAGTGGTGGAGGGCAGAGAGAGAGAGAGGAAGAGAGAGAGAATCAATACGGGGCTTAAACTCAGTTGGGAGATCATGACCTGAGCCCAAACCCCGAGTCGGATGCTCAACTAACTGAGCCACCCAGGTGCCCCAGAAAAAAAGCGTTTTTAAAAGAGAAACGTGTCATCCCTCTTCTCACATGACTCTGTCTCTCTTATCCTTTTATCCTTTCATCAGTACTTCAGTGCTGTTTGGACATCACACCTCTAGGAAGTTGTCACTTGTCCGGTGAGGCTGGCTGGGTCAGTCATCCGTCTCTCAGGCTCTCGTAATACCTTACTGGACATTTGTCTTTTCTCTGCTTGCCCTGCCCGGCATCTGGGTCTTTTCATGTTTGGGGAATTCCCTTTTGAATTAGCTTTGTTTAGGGCAGGGGCCCATTGCCTGCTTCAGAAGTTAAGGAGGAGAGATACTGTTTGCTGGTACCATGTGCCAGTGGGGGTATAACAGTATCATCAAGGCTGATCATTCTCTTTGCCCAAGACTTTGAGTGTGGAGTGAGAGACAGAAGGGCTGGGACACGGAGGGTTCATTCTTGGGCTCGTGGCAGAGGCATCTCCATTTCAGGGGTGGTCGTGGTCATGGTAGCCACAGAGCGGTGGCGTCTACAGTAGATGGCTTCTGAGGGATTGAGGGGTGGTCCTGTGGCCAGCCGTCCTTCGTTCCTGCCTTTCTAAAGATTCTGTGATCTGTGGGGTCCTTTTAACAAATTCCTTTTCTTTAGCCAGAGTCCGTTTCTGTTGCTTGCAAAAGAATCTTGATTGATTCAATCACCCTAGCATAATAGTATTGCACGTTTTGCCTGTTTACTTGCCATTTCCTCCTCAAACTAGATCATGGTTGGGTCTCTGTCTTGTTCATTATTGTACACTCAACACACGGCATGCTTCAGGTATATTAACCTTTCAGTAAATAATGAAATGTGCAGGTCTTCAACCTTGTTTTCCCATTGGCCTGATATTTAGTGGTAATTACGCTGTGATTTTGGCATTTAGTGGGCTTTTATTTTTAGTTTTCAGTGCTGTTTGCAAGATCTGAATGTTTTGTTTGCCTTCTGGATATTTTATTGGCAACTTGGAAGAGAATTCGTAGTTATCTTGAACAATATTTTTTCTTCGCTCCTTAGTTTTCCTAATCCAAGTACCAAATGCGATGGACTGGAGTACGCTTTTCTATCAGGAAAAAATAAAATAAAAGACTTTGTGATTAACCAACATAATAATAAAGCTGGTAGATTTTTTTAATAACTTTCTTTCATTGTGGATAGCATTATAACGTTAGAGCACACTGATGTATAGCGTATACACACACATACACACATGCACACGCACTCATATGGGCTCCTTGTGTCTCCTCATTTTTCCTGTTGTTAATTCCATCATATTTCAGTCACAGTTGAGATGAGGCAACATCTCCATTATCTTGGATGACTACATTTTGCCTGGATGACTTTGTTTTGCCTCTCTAATGGAGAATACCTTTGATTGTACCTCCTTAGCACTCTTCCCCTTTCCTCCAATAATATGAGCCAACTCACCATGATCTTTTTTGTGTAGCCTCCTCACAGGTTGCACTTTTACTGAAATCAGGCCTATCTTGCAGAGTTTCTAGGTGGATTTTTCTGATGACATCTGAAAAAGCTTGATAATATCTTGTGATTCCAACTCTAAGTTTATCTTACAGTATTTCTTCAAATTATTTATTCTTACTAGACTCACCGCAGTTTTACCACTCAATATTAAATCGTGTCCTTTTTGGGGGAATATCTGTCTCTTAACACACATGCCACTTGTCCCCTCAGCAGTTTCAGTATGTTCAAGTTCCACCATTCAGTTGACATAGAATATGCTCTAGGACGCATTCCCTTACTCACTCTCCCTTTCTCAAAGCAGAGATACTCTTTCTTAGGAGTGCTACTCCCCTCTAGGAGCCCATCTTATCTATCCCTTGGTATTACATATTATTGTACTAATACTATCTGAAGCGGTTGAATGGATTTGAAAATGAAAGCATCAGTGCCATCTTCTCTATAGGGCTTTCAGAGTTAATTTATTCAGAGTTTATTTCATTGGGTTTTAGAAAATTTAAAGCACCATCAAAACACTATAATGTTAATTTTCTGCATCATGCGGATACCGTAGGGGCATTTATGGTTATGAAATGCACCTTTTTTTCTTAAAAATGATGCCTTGGCGTTTTCTTTGCCTTGAGGGTTTTATTCAAATTATCATTTGTTTTTTACTTTTGCAGTCGATGCTCCGAGGGAGAGGAGGTTGCTACAAACATACATTCTATGGTATCGAAAGCCATCGTTGCATGGAAACTACCCCAAGCTTGGCATGTGCAAATAAATGTGTCTTCTGTTGGCGGTAAGTAAAAATGAATGGCTGTGGTGACCGAATCCGTAACCATCTGTAATAATCAGTTTCTGTTCAGCCTTTCATTCAAATTTACCTAAAGCTCTGCTGGTTTTAGAAGTAATCCCCATTTCCTTTTCTAATATTATATATTTACACATTTGTTTTTCCTCAACCAATTTTGTCAGGAGTTTGCCAAGTTTTTGTCTTTTTGAAGACATAGATTTTAGCTTTGTGAATCCTTTGCATCATAGCTTTGTTATCTTGTTCAATATTTTTTTTTTTTGTTTTACTCCCCTGTTCTTTCTCTAACTTAAATTAGACTGTTAGCTCATTAATATTCAGTCTTCTCTACATCCTTAATCAGGAATATTCATCTGAGTACTTCTTCAGCTATGTTCCATAGATTTTGATTAGTTAATTATTTTTCAATTATTTTTTTAATTTGAATATAGTTGACACACACAGTAGATTCAGGTGTGCGATACAGTGATTCAGCAAGTTTATACCTTATGCTGTGTTTACAAGCATAACTCTCGTCCGTCACCATACAGCATTGTTACAATGCACTTGAATGTTATTTCCTTGTCTGCACCTTTTATTTTTGTGACTTATTCATTCCGTAAGTGGAAGCCGGTATCTATCACTCTCCTTCACCCATTTTGCCCATCCCTTATTCCTCTCCTCTCTGACAACCTGAATCAGTTTGTTCTCTGTATTTATAGCTCTGATTCTTTTTGTTTGTATCTTTGTTTATTCATTTGTTTTGTTTTTAGATGCTACACATAAATGAAATCATATATGGCCTTTGTCTGTCTCTGTCTGCCTTATTTCACGTAGCATAATACCCTGGAGGTCCGTCCAAGTTGTAGCACACAGCAGCACCTCATTCTTTTTGGTGGTTGAGTAATATTCCACTATACGTATACACCACATCTTCTTTATCCAAGTGTCTGTTGATGGACACTTGGGCTGCTTCCATATTGTGGCTGATGTAAATAATGCTGCAATAAACTGGGGTGAATGTATCTTCTCATTTCCTTTGGGTAAATACTCAGTAGTGGAATTATTGAATCATATGGTAATTTTATTGATAATTTTTTAAAGAATCTCCACACTGTTTTCCCCAGTGGCTGTAGCAATTTACATTCCCAACAACTGTGCACCAGAGTTCCTTTTTCTCCACACCCTCACAAATGCTTGTTATTTCCTGTCTTTTTTACTCTAGCTATTCTGACAGGTAGGAGGTGATATCTCATTGTGATGTTGATTTGCATTTCCTTGATGCTTGGTGATGTTGAGCATTTTTTTATGTCTGTTGGCCATCTGGATGTCTTCTTTTAAAAACTGCCCATTCAGGCCCTGTGCCCATTTTAAATGAGATTATTTGCTTTTTGGTGTTGAGTTGTACACGTTCTTTATATGTTTTGGATACTAACCCCTTAGCAGAAGGTATTTACAAACTTCTCCCATTTAGTAGTTGCCTTTTAGTTTTGTTGATTGTTTCCTTTGCTGTGCAGAAGGTTTTTTTTTTTTCTTTTCTTTTTTTTGCTGTAGTCCCAGTAGTTTAATTTTGCTTTTGTTAACCTCACTTGAGGAGACATATCTAGAAAAATGTTGCTATGGCTGATGTCAAAGAAATTACTGCCTATGCTGTCTTCTAGGAATTTTTTATGGTTTCAGGTCTCACATTTAGGTTTTTAATTCATTTTGAGTTTCTTTTTGTTTATGGTGTTAGAAAGTGATCCAGGGGCGCCTGGTGGCTCAGTCGGTTAAGCAGCCGACTTCGGCTCAGGTCATGATCTCACGGTCTGTGAGTTCGAGCCCCACGTCGGGCTCTGTGCTGCCAGCTCAGAGCCTGGAGCCTGTTTGATTCTGTATCTCCCTCTCTCTGACCCTCCCCTGTTCATGCTCTGTCTCTCCCTGTCTCAAAAATAAATAAAATGTTAAAAAAATTAAAAAAATAAAATAGAAAGTGATCCAGATTCATTCTTTTGCATGTGGCTGTCCAGTTTTCCCAGCACCATTTATTGAGGACGCTGTCCTTTTCTCATTGTGTGTTCTTTCCTCCTTTGTCATAGATGAACTGACCATTGAAGCCTGGGTTTGTTTCTGGACTCTCTATCATGTTCCATTGAGCTATGTGTCTATTTTCGTGTCTGTACTGTTTTGATTACTGCAGCTTTGTAGTACATCTTGAAATCTGGAATTGTGATACCTCTAGCTTTTTTCTTTTCTCTCAAGATTATTTTGGGTATTTGGGTCTTTTGAGGTTCCATATAAATTCCATATAAATTTTATAGTTCCATATAAATTTTATAATTATTTGTTCTAGTTCTGTGAAAAATGCTGTTGGTATTATATTGAATCTATAGATAGCTTTGGATAGTATGGACATTCTGACAATATTAGTGCTTCTAACCCATGAGCATGGGATGCCTTTCCATTTGTTTGTGTCATCTTCAATTTCTTTCATAAGTGTTTTATGGTTTTCGGAGTACAGGTCTTTCACCTCCTTGGTTAAGTTTATTCCTGCATATTTTATTCTTTTTGGTACCATTGTAAATGGGATTGTTTTCTTAATTTCTCTTTCTGCTACTGTGTTACTAGTGTGTAGAAACAGCCAATTTCTGGGTATTAATTTTGTATCCTGTGACTTGATTACTTAATTTTATTATTCAATTGTAAATATTTTCTAATTTATATTATGGCTTCCAAAGACATACTTAGAAAAATTACACATAAATTAGATTTGGGAGATAATATTTTTGTTTTTAAATTTCAACCAAATTGGAGGCACCTGGGTGGCTCATTTTGTTAAACATCTGACTCTTGATTTTGGCTTAGGTCATGATCTCAAGGTTTGTGAGTTCAAGCCCTGCATTGGGCTCTGTGCTGACAGCATGGAGCCTGCTTGGGATTCTCTTTGCCTCACTGCCCCTCTCCCTACTGACATGTGTGCATGCACTCACATGCTCTTTCTCTCTCTCTCAAAATAAATAAACTTAAAAAGAAACTCAACCAAATTATAGCATGTGATTTTTAATACAAGTTATTTAAAATTTACTGAGAGGTACTATATGTCTAGTAGAAATGGTTAGTGTTTATAAATTTATCATATACTAGTGAAAACAGGGTACTTTTTTCTTAAGTTTATTCATTTATTTTGAGAGAGAGCGAGCCAGTGTGAGTGGGGGAGGGGCAGAGAGAGAATCCCAAGCAGTTGTAGAGCCTGACAGGGGCGCTGTAACTCATGAATGGTGAGATCATGACCTGAGGTAGAATCAAGAGTTGGATGCTCAACTGACTGAGCCACCCAGGTACCCCAAAAGAGGGTATTTTTAATTGTTGGGTAATAAAACAGCAATGAAATTTATTTTATATAACTGATTATTTGTCTTATCATTATTTAGTCATCCTCTTTACCCATAATAATGCCTTTTTGCTTTAAAGTCTACGCTTTGTGATATTAATATAACGATACTGGGGCGCCTGGGTGGCGCAGTCGGTTAGGCGTCCGACTTCAGCCAGGTCACGATCTTGCGGTCCGTGAGTTCGAGCCCCGCGTCGGGCTCTGGGCTGATGGCTCAGAGCCTGGAGCCTGTTTCCGATTCTGTGTCTCCCTCTCTCTCTGCCCCTCCCCCGTTCATGCTTTGTCTCTCTCTGTCCCAAACATAAATAAACGTTGAAAAAAAAAAATAACGATACTAAATTTCTTTTGATTACTAATTCTTGCCCAATCTTTCTTTTTTTTTCCTTCATGTAACTTCAATCATTGTGCATGCTTATATTTTAGGTGGGCTACTTATAAACAAGTGTTTGGCTGGATAAATTTTTAAAAATCCACTTTATTGAAGCTTTGTTTACGTACAGTGGAATGCATTTGTTTAAAATTTTTAAAAAATGTTTTATTTATTTTTGAGAGAGAGAGAGAGAGAGTGTATATGCAAATTGGGGAGGGACAGAGAGAGAGAGGGAGAGACAGAATCTGAAGCAGGCTCCAGGCTCTGAGCCATCAGCACAGAGCCCGATGTGGGACTGGGACCCATGAACTGTGAGATCAAGACCTGAGCCGAAGTTGGTCACTTAACCGACTAAACCACCCAGGCTCCCTGAAATGCATTTGTTTAAAAGATATAGTTCAGTGAGTTTTGGTATATGTGTACATCTGTGTGACTGTGACCATGATCAAGATGAAGGACATTTTCTGGGCGCCTGGGTGGCTCAGTTAGTTAAGTGTCGGACTTTTGGCTTTAGCCCAGGTCATGATCTCATGATTCGTGAGTTCAAGCCCCATGTTGGGCTCTGTGCTGGCAGCGTGAAGCCTGCTTGGGATTCTCTGTCCCCCTGTCTCTCTGCCTCTCTCTCATTTGCAGGCACACATGGTCTCTGTCTCTCAAAAACAAATAGATAAACATCTAAAAATACATATTAAAAAAAAGATGAAGGACACTTACGTTAGTCCTGGAGGTTCCCTTGTGCTCTGCCTCCCAGTTAATTTCTCTCGTCTTGTCCTAGCACCAGGCAAATTGATTTTCTTTCTGACAATATGTGTTAGGTTGCTTTTTTCTATAGAGTTGCTTAAAAATGGAATCATTTGGTATGCATTTTTGTGTCTGGTTTCTTTCTTTCTTTTTTTTTTTTTTTT